GATTATATTTTCTACTATCATCTATATTTCTGTTAGGAAAAAATTGTAAATGTATAAATGTTAATTGTAATGTATAATTATACCATATATTGTGGAACACTAGCATTGTTTCGAAAATACTAAATATTAACTGGATGGGTCTGAGAATGTCATCTAAAAGGGCTTTGTCTTTTGCGTATCTGTTTTTTTTTTAAATTAAAAAAAAAAATTAAATTAAATCTTTATAGTTTTTTTGTTAAAACATGACAAAGTATCTCAAAATGGCAAAAAAAAATATATAAAAATGAAAGAAAAAGTAATAGGCATGTTATTACAATACAAGTCTTGTTAGAATTATTTTTATCATAGCACGATTTGGCCACAAGACAACATGTGTCCTATCAGGTCAGGTATCATAGAGGCATATCAAATAAATATTTATCAGTAGTATAGCATAACATCTCTGCTTAATTAATGCTGTGTAACAACATGCTTGAAAAAGAACAATACAATAAATAACACAAAAAAATAACTATTGTGGGGAATAGGTGCATGAATCACTAATAAAATAATAAAGTATTAATGAAGCACATCTGTAGATGACCGATTCACTATTACCACTGGAATTTGATTCATATCTTTTGTATGCAACAAGTACACATTTAGGAAAAGCTTGTTGAATGAACATTGCAATGTTCTAGATCCCACATTAAAATCATACACTTGATTTATCCTGTGCATAGATGGATTATTGAGTTTCATAACCTGAAATCTCCCCTTTGTCTTGAAAGTATACAATACTTGCCTTAAGTTTTAGGATTTGCTCAATTGCTTGGAAATATGCTGCAACTGACTAACAGTTTGAAAAAAAACCCAGAAGCTGCAGGCGAGAAATGGATTCCACATCTATGAACATTGCTTTTTATCATGTTTGTCCTGTTGTGCCTACTGATTCACAATTTCATTTTTTGTTGTTGTTGTTGTTTTACCAGTGTATCAGCTCCCAGTGGGAAATCTGAGCTTATAGATAAGATCTGTGAAATATAGGTCAAAATATCGCTAATCTTATTTTACTCACCTGTGTGTGGATGATCGAAAAAAAATTACTCCTGATTACGCCACAGCCTTGAATGAACAGTAACACAATTTCTATCATGGCATGTTTGTTTGTTCAAGCCAGTTTAATAAATTAACATTTCACATATAGAAAATAAAAGTCTGATATTTTATTTCTAATATACGTTACTTGCATTAAATTACAATAGCAATTTAAATAAATGCTGACTTATTTTTTATTTAACATTTATCACACATACAAACACACACATTTAACCAACATTAACAAGTACAAAAAGAGAGCTAAAAGGCTCCAGGGAAGAGATAATATATGAGAAGAAGAATAGAGTGGCTCACTACTAGACTGGCTAAGTAAGCAATGATGTCAAAGAAAGCTATCCATTCTTTACTTCAAGTCACACTAATGAGATAACAATCTGTTTCCAGGAGGTGAGTCTCCAATGCCCTATCAAAATGACCAAAGAATACCAAATCAATCCAAATTTGTACTGCATTGATTTATAATCCACAAACACTGTCTGAATTTGGGTTCATCTGACAATGCAAATGCGGAAGTGTAATTTTTGGTTTAGCATTGAACGAGCAATGGGCTGGGCAATGGGCACATGGGGAACCATTTGTTTAACCTCTTAAGGATCAAGGCTTTTTTGAGGTGCAACGTGTTTGTGACCAAGTTTTTTTAATTTTTTTATTCTTTATTTGTCAAGTCATGCATATCAAGTGACAGTGACAAAAGGCAGGGCAGTCAACAAGCAATAAGTATTTTGTACAATAAAGCACAATGAATGAACATAGAGATAAACGTTTAACAGATTTCACATTAATGGTAACACTGGAACATCAGAGCGTCATACATGCACTTCACAACCTTTTTATATACTGAGTGAACTGGTCTATATTACATACTTCATTCGTGCACAAAGGTGTGATAGTTGCGTTATATCAAAGGAAATTTAGCGCTGAGCCCTCGATGTATAGCTGCGTTTTAGTTTACTCTGGGTCTGCCTGTGGTGCTCCACTGCACTTAGTTCACTCGTGTTCACCCTATGCATGCATGAACAATTTTATATTTATTTCACAAAAGAAGGTAGAATCAGAATGAGTAAAGGAGAGGGGGAAAGCGAGAAAAGAGGGGAGACACCTAGGGAAGGGATGAATGGCAGGGGGCGTCAATCTCCAGTCGGGGCAGCAAAAGCCTACATCACTGTGTCCCCACTCCTCTCAGCGGTTAGTGTAGTCCTCCCAAGGCTCCCAGACTTTAAGAAAGAGTGTATATGTGTCTCGTACTTGTGCTGTGAGTTTGTCCATGAGATGTGCCTCTTTAATGTTGCGAATGGACCCTGTCCATCTGTGGCATGTCCACTTGTAGCCATGTCTTTCCATTGCTCTCCTAGGTGCCAGATTGATTTTATTTACTAGTTTTTGTTCTCTGTTAGTTAGTCCATCCATTGATTTTGCTATAAGGAAAGTCCAGGGATCTGACTCAATTGGTATGTGTAGGATCTCTGTTAGGAGTTGGGCTATCCCGTCCCAGAATCGCACCGCTTTTGGACAAGTCCACCACATGTGTAGGTATGTTCCCTTCTCCCCACACCCCCTCCAACATGTATCTGTGGGTGTTTTGCCCATTTTACATTGTTTGACCAGTGTGGTGTACCATCTCATGAGTGTTTTGTAACATTGTTCTTGGTGTATTACGCAGATGGAAGCCTTTGCTGCTGCCTCCCAGATGTCCTGCCAGTCCCCGCTCTCTAGAGTTTGGTGTATTTCCATTTACCATTGTGAGACATACGTAGGTGTTTGTTCGTTGCCGTCTGGTGTGTTTAATTGTGTGTATAGAAGTGTGAGGTCGGTACGTGGTCTCTCTGACATGCATAGTTTCTCATAAAAGTTCGGCTTGGCCCTCACTTGAGGACGTCTGGCGAAGTCCCGTAGATGAATGTACCTAAAGTGGTCCGTAGTGGTCGACAGGGCCATGGTCTTTAGGTCTAAATGTCTAAATGTGTCTGCCTGGTAAAGGTGGTAGTAGCGTTGTATACCCGTATTTTCGATAAACCTAAAGTCTCGGCAGGCAACCGGGTTCAAATGGTTTATTTCGCAGGTATGGCGTTAGTGGCGATGGTGTGTTTGTTAGTGAATATTTGTGGGTCGTGGAGCTCAGGTCTGTCTGCTCTAGGAACCCAAATCCAGAACTGGGGGAGGTCTGTACTCATGAGTAGCGTTTCTAGATCAATCCATCTATGAGCTTCTGGTGGCGAGTGCCATTCCACTATTGCGTCAGTTAAGCCGACAAGTAGTAAAGGTGGAGATTAGGTTGTCCCAGTCCCCCTCTACTCTTGGGGGTATATAAGGTTTGCCTCACTATTCTATGCCTCTTTCTAGCCCAAATTAAGTCATCTATCGCTGTCTGAAGTGCTTTTAGGTCTCCCTTAGTTACTTTTATTGGTAATGCCTAAAAAAGGAACAGGAGACACGGCATGAGGTTCATTTTTATACTGTGGTTTCTCATGCCATGTGTCTAAGTCTTTTAGTCATGTGTGGATCATGCGCAGGTGGTTTTCGGCAAATAAGTTGTTGGGGTTTGACGTCAATTTGACGCCCAGATATTTAATGGGCTGTGGGCTGATTTTCAGTTCGGTTGTTTGTCCTAGCCATGTAAGGTCCATCTCCAACATCCTTAGGGGCATACCTATGGACTTATTGATATTAATTTTATATCCCGAAACCTGCTTGTATGTTTCCAACAGGACAAGGAGACAAGGGTGAGTAGGACGTTGTCCGCATATGCGGATACTTAAATTCATCCGATGCCACTTTAATTCGTGGGTTTGTTCTGATTAGGTGTAGCAAGGGCTCTAGGGCCAGTGTCAACAGGAGAAGGGATGAGGGGTAACGCTGGCGCGTGCTGTTTTTTTTGTGCCCTGGTATTTGTGTAAAGGGCTCGAACTGCCGTCACAAAGGCAGCTGGCAAGTTCATCTTTTGCAGGAGTGTGAATATATAGTGCCATTGGACTCTGTCGAATGCCTTCTCTGTGTCCAGGGAAAGGACCAGAGAAGGCGTTCGAGATCTCTCAACCCACCATATCAGATCGGCTGCTCGCTCATATAGTTGTCTCGAGGGAACAAAGCCCACTTGGTCTGCGTGGATCCATTTAGTGAGGAGGGGATTTAAACAGGTGGCTAGTAGTTTGGCATAGACTTTCAGATCAAAGTTTATGAGGTATGGGGTGGTAATTGACGACATTTGTGCCATCTCTACCCTTTTTGGGGATGACGGTTATAAATGCCATAGATAGGTCAGGGTTCGGCGTCTCTCCCTCCGTCCACTGTTTATACATCTTGGCCTGATGGGGTATTCCGTCTTCCCTAATAGGCACCATCAAACCCGTTGGGTCCCCGGGCCTTGTTCCCTTTTAGCGCTGTTATGGCTCGTTCAACTTTGTCCAATTCGACAGGTGCACTCAGGAGTGCAGGCAGTTCCTCTGATAACCTCTAGAGTTGGGCCTTGTCTAGGAAAGCAGTTATGGTTGCTGCATAAGTGCTATTGTCGCCGGTCAATGTGGGAGAGTGGCTATATACTGTGGTCAAGAAACTTGTGAGTTCTGCGTTTATATCTTGGGGATTGTTAAGGATCGTCCCCTGTGTGGTTTTTATGGCAGTGATCAAAGAGGTTTTGTTCTTACGTCAAAGGGCTCTCGCAAAGAGTGTGTTCACTTTATTGGACTTTTTGTAGAACAGTCTCTTTACTCGGACTATGTCTCTGCTCACTTTGTCTATCATCAGGTCCCTGATCAGTCACCTAATTTCTCTCAGTTCCATGGTCGTGGTTTGGGTTGCTGTCTGTTTATGTTGCATTTCTGTCTTGCGCAGCTGTTTTTGCAGTTCGGTCAGTCTGTCATATTTTTTCTTATTTTGTTGAGTTGCTATTTTTATGAGCAGCCCCCGTATTACAGTCTTGTGCACCACCCATAGCATTGTTAGCGATATGTCAAGAGTGTCATTAGTCTGAAAATATTGTGTAATCTCCTGTTGGATTTTTTCCTTTATCTGTGCATCTCTGAGAAGGGAGGCATTCATTCTAAACTTCCATGGCGTATGGGTACCAGGGACTCTCGTGGTGAGTTCTATATCCGCATGGTCATACCATGAGATAAGATTAATCCCGGTTGTTTTAATCCTCTGCATATTCATCTGATTGGTGAGGAAAAGGTCAATGCGGGAATAGGAGACATGTGCCACTGAATAGAACATATATTCCCTCGTACCAGGGTGCTGAATCCTCCAAGGGTCCAACAGTCCTGTATTGTGTATGAACCTATTTAAAAGTTTATCTTGTCCTCCCTTATTTTGTGAACGGGGGACATGTTGTCCCCCTCCACGGTCTTTCGCTGGGCATGTCGTCGCGTTCAAGTCACCTCCTAGTATTAAGATCCCTCTAGGCAGAGTTTTTGTCAGGGTTTCTAATTCTGTCCAGAATATTTTGTTAGGAGTGTTTGGTGCATATACGTTAAGTAGGTAGCAGGTATTGGAGTTGAGAGTACCTGTCAGGACCACATGCTGTCGTTCAGTGTCTGTCTGAACTCCCGTGATTTGGATAGGGCACTGCTTGTGAATTAGGATTTCTACCCCATTTTTTTTACACAGTGCTCTAGATGTGTATGCTCTTGTATAGATATGATCTGTGAGTTGTGTCCTTGATCTGCGTGGGATGTGAGGAAGATTAAGGGGAGAAAGAGTGAGAAAGAAAGAGGTAGAAGAAGAAAAAAGTTGGATGGAGTTTACAACAAAAGAGAAAGCAGATGAACAAGTTAGTACACTGTAGTTCAGTAAAGTAACTTCAATATATGTACAATTCTGCAAGTCTTCTGATTGATTCCGGGTTGCCAGGATCTATGGGGGTGGGCATCCACTGCGTTGAGGGGATCACCTCTAACGGGGGTGGGGGGGAAAGTTTAGCCCTCCAGCACCCTAGGGGTATGCGTCTGGATATTCCTATGGCAGGAGCTGGTCATGCTGCAGCAAAGTAGTCCTGTCCGAGCATGCAGTGGCAGGGGTGGGTTAGCCTAGGTATGTGTTATGTGGAGGGGAGGGCCCACGTAAGGTCTAGCTCTATTGGCAGTCGGTCCTGCATCCACAGTCATGGGCCACTTCTATCTCCACCTCCCCCCACCGATTCTGGCAGGCCACGAATGCGGAGGTTATTGCGCCTTGATTTGTTTGAGACATCTTCTAGCTTGATCTCCAGATCTGTTATTCTGTGTAGGAGTTTGTTGGTTGAGGTTTGCGGCTCCATTATTGGCCAAGACCACGTGCGCCATGCGTCGCTGTGGTGAGGGCCCAGATGGCAGAAATTTAGACCTTCACTTTTGTGGTCATGTGGGCAATTTCAACCAACAGGTACCCCTTCACTTCCGCCAATGAGTGTAGTATGGCGCTGGAGGAAGCTTCCGAGGGATTACCTGTGGGGTCAGTCAATCCAGCAGGGCCCGGTGAGTCTGTCCCTCTGGGACTGGAGTCCGCTGGTGCGCCATGTGCGGTAGGCCTTTGCAAGGTGAGCATGTTGGCCACCGATGGAGCTTCTCTGTGGCTCTTTTTGGCAGACTTGCGGCTGGACATCCGTACCAGAGCGTACTCGGCTTGGCTTTATGCAGGGATGGGTTTTCCTGCCTTTTGTGCAGGCTGTAGCTGATTACAGGGTGGTTTTATGAGCTTTGGGTGCAGAGCTCTGACTCTATGTGGCCATCACGGTCGGTGGTCAAACCACGCCCATCGACCAAGGCTTTTTTGGCACTTTTGCCATGCATTAATTCTGCCCTCTTTCTGTACAAGTGCACTTATACATATTATAAATATAATTTTTTTAAAGTAATAAAAAATGGCTTTCTTCTGACACCCTACATGTATACATAACACAATATTAAATAATATATATTAAAAATAGGGGGAAAAAAATATTTTTTTCATTTTACATTTTAGCATTTTTACACCCCAATGCAACTAACGAAATCTAACTTGAACTAGATTCACTAATTAGTTCTGATTGCTAAAAAGCCCAATATGTCTAGGATTAAAATTAATTTTGACAAATTATAAATCAAATACTGACTAAATATGTGTGCTATAGTGTTAATTTTGTCGACTAACAATTTTAGTAAAATTTTAGTCTAAAAACTAAACTAAAACAATTCAGATGACTTAATTACGACTTAATCAACTTAAAAGACTATGACTAAAATGAAATTTGCAGCCAAAATTAATACTGCACAGAGGGGCTGTGGAAGGGTTAAAGAGACAGACCATTGCTCGGGAGAGAGACACCTAGAGGGGCTGGGAGGACACAAAGAGACACAGAGGGACTGGAGAAGGGACAAAAGAGACAGATAGAGGCTTTAACTAAACCAATCAGATTTTAGTTGAGTTGACTAAAATCAACTGGAGATTTACTCGACTAAGATCTACTGCAGATTTAGTCGACTGGGTTCTGGAGGGGCCTGTTTGCTCGCCTTTTGCCTCAGGATTATGTCCCTGGGGTGTATGGCCCTTTAACAACATTATTTGGACATATTGAGACTTTTTGGAACAATGCCCCATTAAAACTGTGTCCCCAGACTGTGAAAATACTTTGTTCGTGTCCTTTTCTTATATGGTTCGGTAAAGGGGGCTTTCGAATGGGACTTAGTCTTTTTTTCTATGTGAAATAGATTGACCGCACAGCCCAAATTTGTGGAACTCTTTTGGGCAGGAAAGCCATGCTTGCGGTCGGTCAAATTGGACTTCCACCTATCTTTTGAACCACTCGCCCAATTTGTATGATTTTTACATATGTTGGTATACTGTTTATTCTGGTTCAGAATATATATATATATATATATATATATATATATACGTTTATGCGAATTGTATGTATGGTTTGGAAGTTATGAATATTGTGTAAAACTATATTTTCTGCTTGTGATAATTACGTTAACCCATTGTGTTCAGTAATTATATCACAGGCAGAAGGGAGGGTTTGTGTGCCTTAACTGGGAGTTTCTGACTGTACTGTAATGTTTTGATTGGCTATTGTAACTGCATGTCCTGTGTACCACAAGGTCCATGTGGGTGTTAACCTTGTGGTAAAACTTGTATATAAGTGCCAATAAACCCTCAGACTGCTGAGTTCCTGTTTCACCCTCAACATAGAGCCTCGTCACATGTGTAGGGGAAAAGGCTGCATCTACACTGGGGATTGCTATATGCTATATACTCCCCTGGCTATAATCAATACAGGGAGTGCAGAATTATTAGGCAAATGAGTATTTTGACCACATCATCCTCTTTATGCATGTTGTCTTACTCCAAGCTGTATAGGCTCGAAAGCCTACTACCAATTAAGCATATTAGGTGATGTGCATCTCTGTAATGAGAAGGGGTGTGGTCTAATTACATCAACACCCTATATCAGGTGTGCATAATTATTAGGCAACTTCCTTTCCTTTGGCAAAATGGGTCAAAAGAAGGACTTGAAAGGCTCAGAAAAGTCAAAAATAGTGAGATATCTTGCAGAGGGATGCAGCACTCTTAAAATTGCAAAGCTTCTGAAGCGTGATCATCGAACAATCAAGCGTTTCATTCAAAATAGTCAACAGGGTCGCAAGAAGCGTGTGGAAAAACCAAGGCGCAAAATAACTGCCCATGAACTGAGAAAAGTCAAGCGTGCAGCTGCCACGATGCCACTTGCCACCAGTTTGGCCATATTTCAGAGCTGCAACATCACTGGAGTGCCCAAAAGCACAAGGTGTGCAATACTCAGAGACATGGCCAAGGTAAGAAAGGCTGAAAGACGACCACCACTGAACAAGACACACAAGCTGAAACGTCAAGACTGGGCCAAGAAATATCTCAAGACTGATTTTTCTAAGGTTTTATGGACTGATGAAATGAGAGTGAGTCTTGATGGGCCAGATGGATGGGCCCGTGGCTGGATTGGTAAAGGGCAGAGAGCTCCAGTCAGACTCAGACGCCAGCAAGGTGGAGGTGGAGTACTGGTTTGGGCTGGTATCATCAAAGATGAGCTTGTGGGGCCTTTTCGGGTTGAGGATGGAGTCAAGCTCAACTCCCAGTCCTACTGCCAGTTCCTGGAAGACACCTTCTTCAAGCAGTGGTACAGGAAGAAGTCTGCATCCTTCAAGAAAAACATGATTTTCATGCAGGACAATGCTCCATCACACGCGTCCAAGTACTCCACAGCGTGGCTGGCAAGAAAGGGTATAAAAGAAGAAAATCTAATGACATGGCCTCCTTGTTCACCTGATCTGAACCCCATTGAGAACCTGTGGTCCATCATCAAATGTGAGATTTACAAGGAGGGAAAACAGTACACCTCTCTGAACAGTGTCTGGGAGGCTGTGGTTGCTGCTGCACGCAATGTTGATGGTGAACAGATCAAAACACTGACAGAATCCATGGATGGCAGGCTTTTGAGTGTCCTTGCAAAGAAAGGTGGCTATATTGGTCACTGATTTGTTTTTGTTTTGTTTTTGAATGTCAGAAATGTATATTTGTGAATGTTGAGATGTTATATTGGTTTCACTGGTAATAATAAATAATTGAAATGGGTATATATTTGTTTTTTGTTAAGTTGCCTAATAATTATGCACAGTAATAGTCACCTGCACACACAGATATCCCCCTAACATAGCTATAACTAAAAACAAACTAAAAACTACTTCCAAAAATATTCAGCTTTGATATTAATGAGTTTTTTGGGTTCATTGAGAACATGGTTGTTGTTCAATAATAAAATTAATCCTCAAAAATACAACTTGCCTAATAATTCTGCACTCCCTGTAAGCTCTTTTAAGAGCTTGTTACTGCTTCGCTCTCTGAAGAAAGAGAGGTTTACCCACTGGAGCCTGGAGCCTTGTCGTAGGTCCAGGGTGGGTAGGAGACGGCGAGACCCCAACCAAGCTGCGGCGGTTCGTGGGGTCTGCAGTGCTTATGGTATCGAGTGGAGTGCTTGGAGCCCTCGGGAAGCACTAGGAGCATCCATCAAGTTGGGGTGCCAGGTGATCCGTTACATAGACTAAAACTAAAACAATTCAGATGACTAAAATATGACTAAAACTAAAATGGCTTTTTAGTAAAAAAAAATATGACTAAAACTAAATTGAAAT